TTTAATTAAAAACTGTTTATATAAAAACTGTTTATATAAAAACTGTGTTATATAATCTGTTTTTGTAATTTAACTAAAAAAGTATAAAACTGTTATTTAGACATTATAAAAAACGTTTTTTGTATAAACTTAAACTATACTGTTTTTCTAGAAAAACAGTTTGTATAAAAACTGTTTTTTATTTAAAAAGTGTATAAAAACTTTTTTTTATAAATTGTTTTTGAAAAAAAAGTATACTGTTTCTAGGAAACAGTTTGTATAAAAACTGTTTTTTATTTAAAAAGTGTATTAAAACTCTTTTTTATAAACTGTTTTTGAAGAACTGTTTATAAAAATTGTATAAAATTCATGTATCTTAAACACAAAAAAAAAGATGGCCTCTCATGTAAACTTTGCAAAAAGTTTAACATGTTACTTACAATTGTAAATGTGTATAAAACAGATAAAAAAATGGCCTCTCATACAAACTGATATGACTGATAAAAAAAAGATGGCCTCTCATATAAATTGATATATCGAAAACATAAAAAAATGATCTCCTCTCATGTAAACTTTGTAAAAAGTTTAACATGTTACCTCCAAGTGCAATTTATTACCAAATTATTTAAGAACTTATTATGAAAAAATATGGACCCCTCATATTAAACTAAAAATAGTTTAATATGCTATACACATTTTCAATTAATAATACTTGTATAAATTTTTATCGTGAAAAATAATAAATATACCCCAAACTTTAAAATAATAAATATACCCAAAATTTTTATAGTGAAAAATAATAAACTGTGTATAAGTTTAATATGAGTGGTTCAATAATTTCTAATAAACTCATCCTATAATTTATCAATGAGTTGACCCAGTCGATCGAAGAATCGATCAGTTGGAGCTTGTCAATGAGTTGACCTAGTCAATTCTTAGATAAGCTCCAATCTGTGGATTCTTCTGGCTACGGCTTGAGTCATCGATGGACTCTCCCAAACGCATGTACTGACATTATGTCGCTACATGTGATGTAGCCCATCCATGGTTCAAGGCGTAGCCTGAAGAATCGTCAGGATGGAGTTTATCAATGAATCGACTGGGTCAACTCATTGATGAGCTCCAACCGGTTGATTCTTCGGTCGACTGTGTCAACTCATTAATAATTATAGGATTTGTTTATTAGCAATTATTGGAACCTGATATTAAACTTATACCCAGTTTAATATGTTATATACATTGACAATAGACAATACTTACATAAAAATTTGATCTTCTATTATAAGCGTTCTAACAAAAAACAAAATAAATTAATATATTTTAGATGAGCAACGAACAATCGACCTCGGCTCCCCGCCCTAACTATGCGCCCATGTCTGAAGCGGAGCGCAACAACGAAGGAGCTGTTTGGGTGACCCCTGCAGAAGTTCTTTTGTAAGTAGTTATGAAGAAACCTTATTTTCAATAATTTTATATAATGTTAAATAATCTAACCAAATCTTATATAAATAAATACTATTACTTTTTTTAAGTGACGAACAAGTGTTCAAAGGCATCAAAAGCATAATCGGAGGACACTTTCTTGGCACTTGGGCCACGCTGTCGGATGTTGACCCCAAGGTTCGCGAACTATGGTGGAACCTGTTCAAGGTAAAAATAAATGAATGTTCCCTCCCTGATTGTATTGGCCTAATATATACCTGGTGATTAATTAATCCAATTTGTTTTAATAAAGGCTCGCTATCGTTGGACTCACGCAAACGGTGCCGATATTCTTAAAGCCTACAATGCTAGGATTTCGACCTGGCTTCGCGCCACTTTTAAACGTGCGCGAAAAAGTGGGAAAAAGCCTAGATGGGTTTCGGATGAAGTGTGGTCCAACCTTTGTCGCCACTGGTCTTCTGATCCGAAATTCTTGGCTAGAAGTGAATCCGGTAAGAAAAACCGGATGTCCGAGAAGGCCTTGGAGATGCAGTGGCACGGAGGTCGTAAATCTCAGAATGCCCATAAGGAAACTCTTGTAAGTGCTATTCTAAAAACCTTACAACATCACAATCCTTCATTATAAAAAATTTACTTAAGTCTTTTTCACACCATTTAGGCTGGTCCTGAGAAGAAGAGGGTTGATGTTCTCCGGCTCGTCAAGCATTGCTGGACGAAGCACGGCGAGGAATCTGAAGCCGATTTGCCACCCCGCCTCGCTGACTTCGAAGTATGTAACATCATATTTTGTTATTTAGTAACATTTCAAATCTAAGTATGTAGCATTTAAAAAATATTTTTGAAAATGCAGACGAAGTACAACGAATCCGTTGACAGGCAGCGTGCGACACGAGGCTTGACCCAGGAGGACGACCTCGATTCCGATGCGGATGATGAGGCGGCCATTGAGGCGGCCGGGGTTTACAAGGGCCGGGTTCCGTGCTTGGGGTCCGAGGGGCAACGGATTTTGTATGATCGAAGCACCGGTGCTTCCTCTTCTCGGTCAAGGCGGGGAGAAGATCCTCGTATTGCTACACTGCAGCGTGAACTGGAGGAGCACGAACGGCGATGGGAGGAGCAGCGGAAAGCAGATGAGGCCACAAAAGCCCGGTTGGAGGAGATGGAACGGTTCATGCGTGCCGGATTCCAGCCTCCGCCACAGCCTTTTCCTCCCCCGTACGTATTCCACCCTGAGCAAACTCCTCAAGTTCAGCACATGGGCGGTATGGGATTTTTCCCCACCTCCGGATACGGTGGCATGCCGATGATCTCCCCGAATTTCGGATCTATGTCCTTTGACTTTGCGAGGTCATCCGGAGGAGGTAGTGGCACCCCGGGTCATGGATCCCGAGGAGCACCCTGAGGAGGACCCCGAGGAGCACCCCGAGGAGGAACCCGACCTGACCCCGAAGACCCCCCCGTGAACCCAGATGAGTTTCTTGTTGATGATGATGATGATGATGATGATGAAGAAGAAGAAAATCCCAATTTTTATCATAATGGAGTCCCACGGGACATGTAATCATCATACATTTATTATTTGTTGTATTTCAAAACATTTAAAAGTTTGTCACAATATTTATTGAATTTGTTGTATGTCTTTACTCTTAAAATGTATTTATTTTTAAAAAAAAAATAGTATAATATTTTCAATAACTCATTTTTCAAAAAACATTTTTAAATTTAATTTGTAAACATCCGTATTTAAAAAAGTAATTTTTAAAAACATTTAAAAAAAAACGAAAACTGGAATTTTTTTTTTTTTAAAAAAAAAAGTAGTCACGGCCTTATCCGTGACTATAATTAATCCGAAATTATTTTTTTTTTTAAATAAAAAACATAATTTTTTTTCCAAAAAAACCAATTAGTCACGGTCGACACCCGTGACTAATTTCAAAAATTTAAATTACCGCCGCGGGCGGTCTTTTAAAAATTTTGAAAATTAGAAAGATTAGTCACGGTCCAAACCCGTGACTACTAATATTAATTTAAAAAAAACTTAGTCACGGCTTCTGACCGTGACTAATACGCCGGAGTGGGGTTCCGGCTAGTATAATAGTCACGGTCGGCGGCCGTGACTATTCCGTGACTAAATTTAGTCACGGTTTGTTGGACGTGACTTCAATTTAGTCACGCCCGTTAAGTCACGGATTTAGTCACGGCCAGCGACCGTGACTACATCTGTTAGTCACGGAAAAATTGAACTGCTGTCCGTGACTAAGTCCGTGACTACACGCGTGTTTTTTTGTAGTGAAACTTGGAGTTTCTTATATAGAAGAATACAAAGTAAAATTCTAGTAAAATAATATATATGGGTAACAAGTTTAGTAATCAAAAGCAGCCGACAGTTGAAACAACAAAAACACACGGTGGAGCGGAAAGGCAATCAATCTAAACATATCTTTGTCTAGTGGATTACTGGTAGGGATGATGCTCTGTCTCTACGCTTCCGCTTCCTCACTCATTTGTCATTCTCACTAATAATAATGCCTTCCTCTTTTCTTTTTCAACTGGCCCATTTAAACTTAACTTATTCTCAGGTAATATTTTTAATCTAATTTTCTTAGAGACCTTTTCTAGTCATTAGAAGGTAATTATAACTTTGTTTCTTCCCATATATCCCATATAGAATGTATAAAAAATTAACTTTGGTATAATTAATTCGGTTCATGACTAAAAACTAAAAAGAATTTGTTGATAAATTCCGTCTCAAAATATAAGTATACTTATCGGTTGAGGAGAAACCAAACTTTGGTGTTGTAGAAGATGATGAAGCCATTGATATGTAGATTCTCTAAGGATACAAAATCTCATTTTTGATGGATTGATCATTCCTCAACTCCTTTGGGTCTCTTATTATAGGTGTTCTTGAGACATTTGGGAAGAAATGTGTTTCTTCATTTTGTCTTAAGAATTGAATGGGCGGATGCCTTGTATATTTTATATCAAAGAGAAATCATTTTGATCTCTTATGTATAATTTAATGTTAAAACATATCAATCATATGTTAACTATACATAAATACAAAAACCAAATATGTCATATGGCCAACTTAATGGTAAGACACAAATGTCCCCAATATATATGAAATTATATAAGGTGACAACTCCAGTACCTTTCTAAAATATGGGGTACCGTACCTATCATTCATTTATTAAACCACATCACTTTATCATTTTTAATTTAGATTTAAATAATTCAACTGCTACATTCTCATTGGTCCATGTGGAAATAGATATGGTACCTTATGGGTAACATAGAATCTAACATTATATAAATGGTCAAGGACATTTAAATGAAATATTTTTTAGCAGTATTTAACTATGGGGTTCTGAAGTGTAAGAATTTCAAAAATTGAGAAAATTACTTAATAAATAAGACTGAAACAAAGAATAGGACTCATTCACTCCTATATTAAGAAGTTGTAATCGACTTATTCGTTAAATAAGACTAAATAAGTCTTATTTAGGGAATAAAACATACTCATACTTAGTTTTATTTTGAATTTTGTGTATATTTTAATCCTATTTTCATCAAAAATTGTGCAACTTTTATAAATTTATTTTCCTCAAAATTTTTAAATGTCTCTACAAATCTTGAATCCCTCTTTCGAACCATGCATTATGACAATTAGAAGCTGATTGCATTATTTTCGATGATCATACTAGGGAATTACAATAATATTATACTACCTCCGTTCTCTTTTAGTTGCAACATTGGACTTTTTGCACTATTCACATGTTCTACTTTGACTACATTTTATTAATTGATGTATAATAAATTAAATTTTTAAAAAATATTGTTAAATTCTTCTTATTCTAAATTTTCAAAATATGATTTTTTTTAATTTTTTTTACTAATAAGGAATTACAGATATTAATGTCAAACTTGTGCATTGACAAACGTGAAATGTTGACTGTTGCAATTAAAAAGGAACGGAGGAAGTACTTCATACGAGTATTTGAGAATGAAAAATCAGAATAAGCTGCTGGCCGGCATGGAAGGCTTCTTTTATCATACCTTCACAACCCATTGCTCCAAAAGTACAACAGACCACTGCCTCCACTCTCAGCATTAGCTGATTACCCCTTAATCCTATTTATTACTTACTAATTACAAACAGAAAAACTGGAAATTTTATGCCTTCCACAGTTATGCAGATAGGTTTTTTCTGCATAACATTAATTAACAACAATAAAATAGTAGAAAATTAATCCTCACGCGTACAACACCCACCTGTCTCTTGTTGATTAAATAAATCACCAGGCCAATTTTTGGCATGGCTAAAAAGGGTAAATTAAAAGGACTTCTCCAAAACTAATCCCTTTAAAAATTGGAGTAATAAAAATATAATGTCCTTCCGGCCAGTGAGGATCTCCTTTTTCCGGGCAGCTAAGTGAGGCGGAACTGGCGGCCGGTGTAGGTCTGACCGAAGCACCACGACGGAGGAGCGACGTTGTACGACACGAGGCTGCGGCCGTCTCCGGTAACCACCCTGAAAGAGAGGCTTTGGCCGTTAAGGTTGGCATTGCTCTGCCAGTTCTGCCCCCAGTTTCTGGACATCATCTGCCACCCGGTTTTCGATCCTTTTATGTACACGGCGTGTACGTCGCCGGAACCGCCGACGTTTGTCACCAGAACTAGGTTGAAGAAAGCGTGTCCGTTCACGGTGAACCTGATTCCTCCCCTTCTCATGCAGGGCACCCTGCCACATCCATAAAGAAAACAAATTAGCTGACAAATAATGTTGAAGTCTTGGAAAAGTATGAAGTCATAAATGTTATCAAGTTAGACTTTTTAGAATGGAACTTTGAATCCTAACATATTTGAGAAATCCATAATCATAGTGTGTAGCCCTATTAAATCATAGGGAGTATGATTGTATGAAGTAATAAAATGCTACAAAGTGTATATATTAAGATACGGGTTCGTCTTGCTATCAAGTTCACCTTTTAGATGTAACTCAGAATCTTAACAAATAAGCTACATAGTTTTAAACTATCAAACTTATAGGAAGTAAATACTAGATGTGGTGGGATAAATTTTTACTCCAAAATTTTAATACTACGTATAAAATATATTTGGAACTTCGTGTGGGCAGGGACTTAACATGGCCCACCTCTACCTAAGCCCCCGTCTGCCACGATCACATATGATTTGGCAGGGTTGCATTTGAGCCACATCGGAATCGAACAGTAACTTAATTTTTTACTTATTTCGTTCGTAAAACTAATTCACACAGCATCGACAGCAATTACCCCACCAGAGTGTTACCGTTATTGCAACTTAAGATCTACCATGAAAGCGTGGGATGAAGTACGGAGTAAGATTTTACCTTCTGTAAGAAACAGGAACAACTCCTGCATTATATTGTGCAATTCTTAGGAACACAGGCTGAGACAGATCAAAGTGAGGGTTTGGAGGCTCACACCAGCCCCCAGGAGGGCAGAAATTCGTGGCAGTGACGGTAATAATTCCTCGAACACATGACCGATCATTGACGCACATTATCTGGTAACAGGATCCACAGCTCAGGCCATTGTTAAACAGAGGAGTGCTCAATGCTGCAGTGTTGGTTCCATAGCCTGAGCTGTATAGGTTCCCATATCCACATGCTCCACCTGTTCATTATGAGTTAGAGGTTATTACTTCTGTTATAACAGTATTACTTATTGCAGTTTAGGGCTATGCTGCACGAAAACGCGAAAAACATGGAGAAACGTGAAACGAGAACCATACCCATTGTTCCCGAGGCATCGCCCCCGCCGTAGAATGTGGCACGGGCTCTGCTCCAGCCACCGTACCCGTGCACCGGAGACAATATGGCCATAATTCCCACTAAAAGAAGTTCAAGAACAGCCATTTTTGCTTTTGTGTGTGTAGTTTTTCTTCCTGGGAGAATGAGTATGAACTGAAATTGGTCAGAAACTTAGACTGGGTATTGAAATGAATAGTTTGGAAGGAATTAATTGCCTTCCACCAGCAAAGAATGAAGTAGCTTGGCAGTGGAGAAGTGGGGAGGTGAAGAGAAGGTTTCCTTATTTATGAAGAATAAATAGAGGGGGGCTTCTACTACTGTTGGGCTGTGACTTTTTAGCCTGTGTCGTGTAACTAATTTGTCCTCTTTGTTTTTTTTTACCATTTAATTGTTCCTTTAATTAGAACCACTAATAACTGATAAATTGGGTGGAAAATTGGGTGGAACGTACTATGTAGTACACTCTGAACTCTCCTTCCCATCACTACTTTAGTTCGTTTGCTTTAGTTTATTTTTTATACGGAGTACAATTTACAAAATGAGTGCTATATTTCATACGGAGTATTTTTATGTAAATACAAACAGTTTTCTTTTTTTTGAAAAAATGTAAGTAGAAACAGTTAGAGCATCTCCAATGCTCGAATGTGCACGGTGCACATGTGGCACGAGAGATGACCACATAAATATTACCAAATAAGTTATCTATGTCCTTATTTGAATGATTTTATACAATTTTGGTATGTTTTTCCCTGCAATGTCAACTGCAGTGTCAACATCTAGACGGTCTCCTTGACATTGTGGAGAAAAACTTACCGAAACTGTACAAAATCATTCAAATAAAGAGAGAAAAAAATGTATTTACTAATATTTATGTGATTATCTCTCATGCCACATGTGCACCGTGCACATTGTAATGTTGGAGATGCTCTTAATCTCAAGTTTTTAAAAAACTTCCTACCATAGCATTAATAGCGTGCTTCTAATTTTTATTTAAAAAGGCATATGTATCTTTACTTTCATCTAGGGGTGGGTTCGGTTCTTGCGGTTCGGTTTTGACCTAAAACCAAATATAGAATCGAAGTAAAAAGTTCGGTTCGATTTCGGTTCGGTTTTACACTCCAAAACTTGGAACCACGGTTTGATTGGTTCGGTTTGTTTCGGTTCGGTTTCGGTTTTTTCGGTTTTTTACCAAAAAATTCTTACTTGATTTAAAATTGATATAATACTTAGAGGGATCAAACAAGTTACATAAAGAATGCAAGCACAACACAATAACAAATAAAATAAAAATGAGAAGAGATAAATATGTCTTGAATTATATGAGTATGCGAGATAGATAAAACTGTATATATTATTGATTTAATTTGTTTGTGAGTAGTTTGAAAAAAGTTTGTGAATATATACGTTACATGTGATATAGTTGAGATGAATATTTATTGTTTTATCAATACAAAATCTTTAAGTTATCTAAAAATAAAAGTTAATTACTACTAATAACTAGTAAACACATATTATCATCATTCAATATAACTACATTATTACAGACAATGAATGTGTAAATGAATTTATAAACTAAATTAAATTAAACATAATACAAACATTATTTCTCTAACACAAGAAAACCAAAGACTATTGATGATTTAATATTAATTAGAATTAATATTTAACAATTAACATATAAATTTCATATTTTAAGTAGTTCGGTTTGTTCGTTTCGGTTCAGTTTTGAAGGCTAAAAACCAAAACTGAACCAAACAACTTCGGTTCGGTTCGGTTCGGTTTTTTACATTCGGTTTCGGTTTCTTAGCGGTTCGGTTTTATTTGGCTGCGGTTCGATTTAATTTGATTCGGTTTTCAGTTTTCGGTTTTTTGAACCCAGCCCTACTTTCATCTCATTTTTTTCTTAATTTTGGTATCTCATTAATCATCATAGCTCTTTCTTTTTTACCTCTGATATCATCTATCGATATTCATGTTAGTTGATATCAAAGTATTTTTAGACTAAGAATTGAATGTTGTGGTTGTTGTATTGGTCAATGGTCATCTTAACGTTTATTTTTTGTTTCGTTTTTTCCAGCTAAACATTCTTTTCTTAAGTTTCTATAAACAAGTAAAAATATGAGAATGGAGTAAGCCCTTTTCTGTAAAAAAAAAAAAATGTAGACTTTGTATCTAGGTGCTTGAATTTCCAAGATAACTAATGCATTGACACAAATAACTAATATGTCCACACATTAGTTGTCTCTCCTATACAACTAATTTATGTCCTGAATGACAAGTTTGAGTGGTCCAAGTAGACTAAAAAAGCGAGTGTTTGCGATTGCTTCAACTTTAAAAAAGTGATTTTTTAAAGTGATTTTGGGAAAAGTGATTAATAGTAAAAGTTGGTAGTGTTTGAGAAAAAAGTGATTCTGAAAAAGTAAAAGTTGGTAGTGTTTGGTAAAATAAGTACTTTTTGTGTAATAGAAAAAGTGAGAAGCAGTTTAAAGCACCCTTCTACCTGCTTCCAGCTTTTAGCTTTTAAGTGATTAATTTAAGCAGAAGCTATCATTTGAAAACACTCTTTTCAACTTTTTTAAGCCAAAAGCTGAAAAGTGCTTTTTTTAATCAATCCCAAACACTCCTTAACTTCCACACTTAAGATTCTTTTGTGGAAGGCCTTGAGTTTGTGTGTGGAAGTCATCGGGATGTGAATTTGTGTGTGTGTTTTTCAAATGATAATTATCTAGCTAGTTCGAGTGCTCGCGCAAACTACTCTTTTGTTTAGCCTCAAGCGTGAGTGAGGCTAAACAAAAGTGAATTGTTGAGCCTCAAGCGTGAGTGAGGCTACTTGTTAGTTTCTTACTAGGAACCTGGTGATTTTTTAACAACCCGTTTATATTGATCTCTTGACTTGAAATGGTGTATAGATAGCAATTGAAACATAGTGAATTGTTCATTGACTTAAAATTACTTTTCTCAAAACCTTGGAGTGAGTTTTTTAGAGTACGAGATTAATCTGATGAAGTTGAGATCACCTGATGCAAATAAAAGATATATCCCTACACATTAGTCTCCATGCCGAAGTGCACTAACGAGTGAACAATCTAATTAATTTAGTTGTTAGAGTTGGCATAACGATCAACAATATTATCCTTCTTAAAACCACAGCCTAAAAATACTTATCTGATCAGATCTTTCACAGTGCTTGATTGTACACTGATTAAAAACAGGGGGTTGAAATCTGCATATACTTGAAAATTGAGGAGACATTTGCAATAACATCATATTATTTTAAAATATCCCACAAGAGGCGTGAGGGACATGATCTATAACTGAGTTTGAGTACTTATGTTGGTATGATGTGACCAAATATGTAACGTAATGTTATCAACTCAATTAGCTATTTGCGGGATTGGGATCCTCTGCCTTAAGGCAGAGGTGCCTTACTCAAATGGACGGCACAGATCGAAAAGTAGGTCTCGAGATTCGTGCAAAAAATGGAGTCCTTCATCTTCAACTCTTCATTTTTTGATCTGATGGATGAAAACAGCCAGGCACCCTCCTTGGCTGCTTAACCAAGGCAGAGACGCCGGATCCCTATTTGCGTGGCAAATTACAATAGGTTTAGTTTGATGCTTCACTTTCAATCGTAATACGATTGGGATTGCAATTTACAATGTGGTGTTCCTTACATACAGACTTATTATCAATTTTACACCCAAAAAATATGGAAAACAATTACATTCTCCAAATAGATCCAGTTCTTTTTTCCGATCCCATTATAAACAAAATTAAAATTAGATATTTAAAAACTAAGCGCCCGTTTGGTAGGACGAAAATCGGCGATTTTGGCTGATTTTGCTGAAATTTATGAAGTTCTGGCTGAAGTGACAGCATTGGCTGATTCCGCTGATTTAAGAAAAAATTACTTTTAAAATATAATCTATTAATAAAATAAAGAACAAATTATATGTAAAAATAGCTAAAATGATCATCTACAGTAACTTCAGCCAATACAATCAGAAAAGTAACTTCAACCTTATTTTTTGTGCTTATTACACATTTCAACGCGCGAAAGCAAAAGTTACGTGTTTGTTGAAAAAGTTGGATGATAAGTCTGATAAGCCGAAAAAGAGTGTTGCCAAACGGCCTCTAAATTTAAAATTAAACAGCTTTAAAAACTAAAATGTGATCATAAATAACGAAAAATTAAATTAAAGCAAACTATTTAATGATCATAACTTGTTAATCCGTATTACTTGAGTAACCATGCAAAGTAATCAAATGAATGGTTACAATCCATAACATTAAATTATGTTACATCAAACCCATCTTAGCCCTAATTTTCTTAACGATAAGGGGCAGGCAAGCCACTCGCAACTCCATATTGGGGTTGTAAGATTATTTGATAAGCAACATAGATATATGAACAATTTATGGCCTCTTAGATTGATTATAGAGGTTGGACACTTGGACATGCTCAAATAGTTATTCCGAGTGATTGATGAATTATTTTTGAATCATTCTTATCCCATTGTGTGGTTTATAAAAGTTCGTTTTTAAATTTATTGCCCCACGCCGTTTCGTTTTGTGAACCACACGTGTAGGAATACAAATGGAGTAACCCAAAATGGCATACTTATATTATTTTTCATTATTTTTTATTGAACGCTTTATTATTAAACGGTATATAAACTAATAGTAACGCATGATGACATCAGCGTGACACATTAGGATGTCATGTCTAGGGGAACCGTTTTTGCTTGACCGTTCGTATATACTACGAGTGCTTCGTATATAAAGATTGTGAACCGTTTACTTTGATTTATGTCAATGACATGTCGAATTAACGAGTCATATTTAAACAGGTCTTATTGCATGGAAAAGAACATGGATATGCATATTTAAATTGATCGAGACAAATCAGTGATCACACCATACATCAATTGGATAGTTACAAATCAGTGATTTGCAATTTTAGTCTCCTAACTTTCGACTATTATGGTTATTGATCTTGTAACTTTAATCACCTTCGAATTGAATCTGGTCCTGTAACTAATAAATATTTGTAATTTAAGCAATTTTCACCAGAAAGTACACTTTTCTTCTGAAAACCCCAACGCCGGAGACATCTTTTTTTATATATTATCGCCAGAAAGTGTAGTTTTAGGGGAAAGTCCTTAAATCGCTAATATTTATTTGTTACAGAATCAAATTTGCAAGTGACTGAAGTTACGAGACTAATAATGAAAATGGTCAAAAGTTACAGCATAAAAATTGCAAATTTCCCTATCAATACCAAATCATATATGTTGAAATCAAACTTAAACAAACTAAATTAGTTCAAATTAGACTT